TAGAGCTGTGTTACACACTGCATGAAAGGTAATTTTCAAAAATCCATAATAGGGGCACTTTAAATCTATTTTAACGTCTTCCCACAGTTCAACAACATGCTGCTGTACTGCGTTCCCAAGTTTAGCTTGGTGGGACAGAAGTTTACGGTTCGCACACGTATCGGGATTGAAGGCATGAAGGTGATGGAGACGTACAATGAGGATTATCCTCACACCTTTCAGGTTTCCGGAAAGGAACGGACACTGGAGCTGCAGGCCAGGTACAGACCGGAGCATCTTTTAGAAGTGCTGGCATTTATAATGCATGCTGTATATCATTCAGTATAGGTGGTTTTTAATGGTTGCCTTAGGGTTAATGGTTTTAATCGTTGCCTTATTACAGCTCTGAACAGGATAAAGAAAGCTGGATAAAGGTAAAAATGCAATATCCGCTGTTACTTGCTGATTATTATCAAGTCATTGGAAGTCCATTTTTAAAATCGGCTTCATTTGTGTTTTAGGCATTCCAGGAAACGATACACATCTCTCTCCAGAAAAATGAGACCTTTAAGTCAGCATTCAAAGATGTGGAGGAAGTAACGGTCAGTATGTCTTCTTAGAAGTGTAATAAAATAAGAGAATATGTAAAATATTGAATTATTTAAATTAGGGATGCACCAATACCACTTTTTCCAGTACTCGCCCGATACCGATACTTTTATTTTTGGTACTTGCCGATACAGAGTACCGATACCGATATTTTAATTGCATTTGTACATTTTTTAAATATTGGGTACAGAAACCAAAAGGGTATGTATAATGTTAGTTGGTTAACTTCATTTATCAAATAGATACAGTCAAACCAAAATCTATTTAGACACCTTCATCTTTTCTCACATTATCACAGTTTATTCGCTATAGTTTAGAAAATGGTAATAAAATATGACAAGAACTCAGAAGCTACACTGTTTCAGAACAAATTCATCTTGATAATGCTACATAATTTTGATAGAAAGGTATGTAACAGATTACAATCAACCAAAATAATTCAGACAGCTGTTAGTATGACAGTATTTACACAACTATCAATACTTAGTCGGGCAACCCTTAGCCTTAATGACAGCATATAGTCTCCTGGGCATGCTGTCAACCAGGTTCATGCAAACCTGAACTTTTTTTCCCAGACTCGGTCTGAATAATTTTTGGACACAAATTTGTATACATTTTACTGGTAGTCCACTGTATGAAGAATTTTTGGGTATGATTTGTCACAGTTTACTTTATTTTGCCATCCTCACTTACATAAAT